AGAAGACTGACAATGAGGCCCTGCTGTGCCACTCACCAGATGTGTAAAATGATAAGAATGAATCTTCATCTCAGAAGGTGGAAAGATGCAATCGTGAATGTAAAATGGTTGTGTACCTTGATCCAGAAGTGGAAAGATGCAGTCGGGTTGTCCATCTAGAGGAAATGGAAAATGACGGGATGTGTAGTGCCGAAGGCAGGAAGGTGGAAGTAAAGGGGGGAAGGTGATGGAGATGGACACAGAAACGAGGGAGTAGAGTAAGAGGAGGGAAGGTGATGAAAATGAAGAGGGAGGAGGACGGAAGGTGTGAGGTGAAAGAGGTAGAGGAAGACAAGCATTTGAAGGAGATGGAAAATGATTGGAAATACGAAGGTGGGAATAAAGGAAGAGGAGGGAAGTGATGGAGATGAAGAGGGATGAGGCGCAGAAAAGGTGGGAGGGAGAATAGGTAGAGGAAGATAAGCAAGTGGAGGAGGAAAGGTGTCAAGAGGAGAAGGAGGGTGTGTCACGTGGAAGGGTCTTACTTGGGCGGCTATGGAAAGCAGAACTAGCGGTGGGAACACACGGCGAGGGGAAGGCGGACGACAAGCATTTGAAGGAGATGGAAAATGATGGGAAATGGGAAGGTGGGAATAAAGGAAGAGGAGGGAAGTGACAGAGATGAAGAGGGATGAGGAGCACGAAAGGTGGGAGAGGGAATAGGTAGAGGAAGACAAGCAAGTGGAGGAGGAAAGGTATAAGGAGGAGGAGGAGGGTATGTCACGTGGAAGGGTCTTACCTAGGCAGCTATGGCAAGCAGAACTGGCGGTGGGAACACACAGCGAGGGGAAGGCGGACAACAACCGAGAGGGAACATGAACGTTAACACAACCCTTTTAAAATTCAAACATGGATGACGCCAAGTTGGATGTGGGGCAGACAGAGAAGATGCCTGCCCAATAGAGAGGCAAATGGCAAAAGTAGAGTCTCAACCTCTTTAGTCGACGACCACGGGCATCTGGCAAAGTTGCCCGTGGGAAGGACAGGGGCAAAAAAAGAAGTTCAAACATTTCGTTGTACCCCGTTGTTTTAGGGGTAGGTGATGAAACAACCCAACTTTTAGGTGTATTTCAACAATTTTTCCTTTTTTTATTAGGCGACGACCTCCAGACTATTGATGTTCTTAGGGGGAGGGGACCAAAGGGGAGGCACAACTACTGGCCCATCGAACGAGCTCGGTCCTGAGGCTACCGGTTGACCCCTAATCGATGTCGCCCGCCTGCTGTAACAGGTATCGCTGTGACGCCCAACCTCACGCCTAGTGTGACTTCCTGATCGGAAGGGGTGTACAAGGATTTTAGGAAAGTGGGGTGGAGTCCCAGACCAAAACTGGGATCTCCGGTGCCAAGGTTCCAAGGACAAAAATACAAAAGGTTCAGATCGGAAAGGGCACTTCTCAGCTCAAGGGTTTCAAGGCCGAGTACTCAGGCCAGTCGGCGTCTTCGCTTACAACGGGTTCGTATACGGTGCACGGGAGAGACACAGTGGGTATCTTGTTATTCCAACACGTAGTGCTTACGGGACTCTCGTATTTCAAAATCCGACGTGGACAATCTTGGTCGAAGGCTGTGTTCTCGACACTCGGCCTCAGTGTGAGTTCGCTGAATGAAAACCGACACTCGGTAGACGTAATCACGTCTGTACTCAGAGCACAACATATGTGTTCAGTACGGGGCAATGCACACCATGAAATAATAATTAGATTGTGGTAGGGAGGGAGAAGATAGTGAAGAGGGAATTCAGTTTCAATGGTGACGAATCTCGACTTAGTGAATACCTGAAGTTTATGCGTGTCAGGATATTGCGTGGGTTAGGGACTGCGGCCTAAAGCTTATTGGATATCCTACTCACATAAACGTTTTTCTCCAGTACGATGCGGGAAGTCGGGGAGTCTCGATCGTGGGTGACGAGAGCAGTATTCGTTTTCTCAATATTTAAGGTATTCACGATCTGTTAGTTGAAAGGGGACACCGATTTCCATGCTACGAACTCACACCAATACAATAATGTTTTGACAAAATTACAAAGGGGTAAAAACATTACAAATATAGCCCCGGTGTGGACGACTCGTACGTACATGCTCATACGTGGCTGGCCGTTTCAACGACGACCTGTAAAGATCATGCTCGAACGTACATGGTCGAACGTATATTTCGTCCTCAACGGAAGGAAAGCGACATGGGACGACCAACTCCGCTGTTCTCCCCGATTCCTATGCTCTAAGACTTATCATCCATCCATTCCCCCAATCATCCAATCTTCATAACATGAGCAAAGATCATGCATGCAAGTTGAGACGATCAACTCATAGTCATCATACGTGGCATCATCCATGGAAAAAGAGAAGAAGGCATAGAGGAATTTTGAGGGGATTGACATCTATCTACAGATAGTAACCCATCGTAGTGCGATCGATATATATCTCATCGATACAATATATGTGAGACGAAATGATATGTGGGACAAAATGTATTTGATCCATATATTAATACCATATAATCGCTTGAAAGGAAGTCATACAATCTTGCAAAAAGGTCCGAAATTGCTAAGGCAAAATTATGAAGATCGAAACCAAAATTTGAGCGGACCACGAAAAGAAGTCCCAACACCACCCCGACACTCCGCACGCCCTCACTGCCTTCACCGTCCACTCCTTTACTATGGTGTGGGCAGTCCGTCGCCTCGCACCTACCAACAACCCAGAGTCATCATCGTGCTTGGTCTGAGCACGCAAGCCAGGTTCGCCCGTGTCCCGCAGTCCATCATGGCCACACGTCAACCCAACACACTCACCACCCAGCTCGCCGAATCGCCCAACTCTGCACTCACCTTCATACATGCTCACACTCCTTAGGCGATCTTCTCGACCACACTAACTCCAAAAGTTTAGATTAGACTCGGAGAGCGAATTAGTCGCGCTTGCGAGATTTATAACAATCAGCTCCTGCGCAAGATAGTTGGGATTACATTGGCGAAGTGGGAAAGAGGAGGGAAGGAAGTGCCCACGATAGCCACTCTCGATGCATCGATCTAGTCATGCATCGTTCTGACCAATGAGACGAAGGAAAAGGATGCAAGTTTCAGTGCGAAGAAAAATCAAGGGGAGAAGATTACAGTTACACCCGCACTCGCCAACACCCACGGCCCACTGCTCCAGGTGATCATTGTGCACTTGGTGCCTGGCCTCTACAACAAGAGAGACTTACAATTGAGATTAGGATTGAGGTGCGGCGGGAAGAGAGCGCGAGATAGAGCGTAGCAAGGCGCGCCTGAGTGAGGAACGACGTGCAGTTCAGCTGCAACCAGACAAAAATGTGATGCGCCCAAAATCCTAGCCTAATTAAAGCCCTAATTGCAGAATGAAATTCTGAATATCCTCGCGGTCGCCCGCGTACTTTTCTAAGAATTAAAAAAAAGGGCTTTCCCCACAAAATGATCGCGCCAAAGTTCCTCGTCCGAATTCCGAAGAAGAAAAAGAAAAAGAAACCGTTGTGTCAAGCGTTATTCCTGCGGTCTCTAGGGCGTGTCTTAACCACCGAGAGCTGCGGGACCAAGTTCTTGCAAAACAGAAAAGAAGGAAGGAAAAAGGGTGAGGGCATTCATGCAATTAAATCCATAGGCCCACCCCGCTTCCCCAAAGTCCTGTTGCACAGAAAATTGTGCGCATCAGAAAAGAGATTGACACATTGCACCTGCTGGGGTGTGCAGCTCCCGCATGTTCCCTCGTCAGAGGCTTGAGCATGAATATGGCTGCTACGGGGTTCCTAGTAATACTATGAAAATAATAAAAGAGGCCTGAAAGGCGGTCCTGTCCAGACTCACAGGTGCATCCAGGGGCCTAGCTCAGTGGGTAAGGCACACAAGTGGCATTCAGGAAGTCATGGGTTCAATCCCCATCGTGCTTATGTACCTTCCTGGGCATCCAGGGGCCTAGCTCAGTGGGTAAGGCACACAAGTGGCATTCAGGAGGTCATGGGTTCAATCCCCAATGGGCTTATGTACTTTCCTGGGCATGATTGGCACCCGCCACCGGAGATAGCCCCTTGGTCTCCTCAACTGACATTAAAAAGCAGTCTCTGCTGATGTACATAGGGGGAGGGGTAATCAGGGAGGCACAGAGACTGGCGCTCGGTCCCTCTGCTACCGGCTGTGCCCTGGCCAGTGTCGCCCACTAAGGGTTCCCTGATGGCAATAAGGCCACCTGGTGTCAGATTAGACACATGATTGACTTTACCAGGGCTGGTTAGTCGGAGGTGATAATACCCTAAGGCCATCGCCCTTTGGAAAAAACAAGAGAAAAAAAAGACATCGTTGAACTGATCAGCTCCAGATAATTCAGAACTATTTCGTTCTCGTAATCTGTCGAGGTTCGAGCACTGGTCAGTATTTCTTTCTTTCTTTTTTTTTTTTTTTTTTTTTTTCTGGTCAGTATTTCAACAGTTGGCTCGTTGGTAAACGGGAACTCGCATCGGAGGTTCCCTCCCCGCCATGACAGGCGATGAACTGGGCCCAAGCTAGGCCATATTTGGGCCCAGTGGAATTACAGGTATGTTCTGGCGCAGTGTGGCCCGGCCCTTAGCCCGTTGCGGCCAGCTTCTTTCTCGGGGGCAAGGTCCCATTTGCACGGATTGGGAGATTTGCGCCGTCGATCTCGGCTATCTACGGTCTCTATCTCTTAATTCGTGTAAGTGGGACCTATAGCGCGGGAGAGTGCTGGCCGGGCTTTCCCACATGTGAGGGCTGGGCCGGGCTGGTAGGCGGCCCGGCAACGGTGGCCCGGTTCGGTATCGGGACCGTTCTTCTATCTTCGGGAGGGGGGTGTTTGTTCGGGGGTGTTCGGCATTCCCGTTGTCCGGGCCATTTTCGTCCTCCACCATTCACAACGGTAGCCTTCCACGTCGACTTTCCCTCTCTCCATCGCTCAATGCTAATCGCCGGTTTGTCACGTTGGCGCGGATTTGCTCGTCATGTTATTGCCCGGCTGCCCGGCTGCCCGGCTGCCCTTCCTGCCAGGTTATCACAGAAGTAGGTACCCCGGTATCCTTCCGGCCACTGTCTCGTCGTGAAGATTGCGACCTGGAAATGACACGTCAGCTCTTTGGCAATGGGAGTGCCACGTGGCTGAGGCGCTGCTTCGAATAGCTGCCATGTTACCGAAGTCCCAGCTGGAGGAGGAAGGGATTGATCGGTCATCTTGTCAATACCTATGTGAGTACTCCTCTGGGCCTCCTCCTCCTCCGCCGCCTCCTCCTCTGTCTCTCTCTCCCCCCATGAGTTCCATGTCTGTCCTCCTGTCCTCCTCTTTTGTTCCGACGAGTCTATCTCCATGCTACTCAATCAATCAATCAATCAATCAATCAATCAATCAATCAATCCATGGGCAGTATGAGTGGATCAACACAGTATATCCATCCCACAAAGCGATCGTGACTAGAACCGATTGGCCAATCAGTCAGTCAGTGAAGGAACATACTGACCAATCAATCAATCAATCAATCAATCAATCAATCAATCGATCAATCAATCAATCAATCAATTGATATATTCATCTTAGCAAATCGGTTGTTAAGTTTTCATACAGGCGGTGAAAACCCCGACTATGCGAGAAAAAAAGCAATCAATGAGTCGATCGATTTATATACGCCATAATTATCTGGGTAATCGTCGATCCACGTAAAAAAAAAGGAAAAAGAAATCGTTGATTCACGTGATAGAGTGAGTTAAATGGCTGCTTACAGTCTTTGTAGTTTCTCAGTCTTACTGCCATTCTTGTCAGGGTTTGGACGGACAGTCTGCTGGGATTGCAGGGTTGGTTGGTGTGAGGAAAGTGGACTACTTTCTCTGTCTCTCAAGGAAGGGTATTCCTAACTCTAGGCCACGTGGTGCCCATCAGTGAAACGCATCCGGGGCAGACTGTCCGTCCAGGTTCAACCTTCTGATGAGTCGGTGAAAGTCCGACTAAACAGTCTCTCTGGCACAGTCATGCTTTTTTTTTTTTTTTTTTTTGCGGTT